CCTAAATTTATGAAGAACAATTATTTGCAAACTTTTATACCAGAAACAAAGAAAGCTTTTTTTTTTTTCAAAATGTTTTTTTTTTTGTTAATTTAGCAAAAAATAAAAAACCCCAGTGGTGATTAAATTCCACCAAAAGAAAGCTCTAGTTGTGTGAAGAAAATGATAAAATTTTAGTTTGGGTACAATGTTGTATGACCGCGCAATTGTCATTCAAAGTGTGTGAGAGCGCTGAAACCTGAAAAATGGCCTGGGCAGGAAGGGGGTAAAAGTGCCCTGTATGGAAGCGGTTAAACATGTCCAGTAAAAAAATGTCATCATAAATGTAGGCCAAAATGTATTCTGCTACATGTCTTTCCTAAAAAAAAATCCCAGTACGCGTAAATTAATTGGTTTACGTGAAAGTTTTAGCGTTTACAAATGGGATAGATACTGGAATTTTAAATTTTTTTTAAATTTTTACTAGTAATGGTGGCAATCAACGACTTATAGTGGGACTGCGGCGGGCATTCTGACACTGAGGGAACTGACTTGGTGTTACTGACATCCCCAGTGACACCAATACAGTGATCAGTGCTAATAAAAAGCACTGACACTATACTAATGGCACTGGGCAGCAAGGGGTTAACATGAGGGGCGATCAAAGGTTTACTGTGTGCTGGGAGTGTTTTACATAGGGGGTCGTGTCAGTGTGCTTCACTGTAAGCACACTGCTTTGGATGGTTGTGCTGTGCGCAGCCATCCAAAGCAGTGGGTCCAAGCTGACAGGGAGGAGAACTGTTAGTAAACAAAACAGTTTTCCTTCCCATTGGAGATCGTGGAAAATCACTGGGCGCCGGCGAGTCATCACCAGCCAGGACCCACAGATTGACAGCTGCGGCCATGAACGACGGTGCCGGTAGGGAGCGTGCACTCTTTACGTGCACCCTCTACCCAAGAATGCAAAATCACATATATACGTGATTTTGTGCACCCGTGTTGCCCTGTAGCAGTAGTTCTGCTATAGGGAGGCGCTGAAGTGGTTAATATGTAAATTATTATTCCATGAATAATATTATATTTATATAGCACCAACAGTTTGCACAGCACTTTACAATATAAAGGGAGACAGTACAGTTACAATACAGTTGAATACAGGATTAGAAGGGCCCTGCTCATGAAGCTAACAATCTATTCTATGACTGTTTAATAAACACACATTTGCATTAAAGGATGTTTTTTTTTTATATTTAATTTCAAAGCTAGAATCACAAGTTGTTTCCCAGGTATGTTTTTAATTACTTTTAATTTATATAATAATAGATATTGAAGTGTTACTAAACCCACAACAGTAAAATCAGTCTGTGAATGCCGTAAAGCATGCTTGTTTATACTCATTGTGGAACCTAACAGGTTAATCCTTTTTTGTGTAAAAAGGCTGTTTGATCCTGTCTTCTCTGATTCTCCTCTTCTTCCAGCATCCCCTCTTATCTCCTGATATCATGTGGAGATACTCTGCACATGCTCAGTTTGGTGTGTATTGATATAGATGTTTTTTTTTTCTTTGAGAGAGTGCATGTGATCAGCACAGGGCCAATCAGCCCTGTCCAGACAGAAGTCAATGGTTCTGCATCCTTCTAGAGCAAATTAAAACTCCTACAAGCTTTAACCAGTGCTCAGCTGGACACTGATAGAAGTCACAAGACTGCTCTAATTGCTGATGAGAAAAGGTATTTAGCAGTTATATATTTACTAAAATAATTGCATTTCCATGTTGTGTGTACTGTGAGAGACCAGATATGGTGAATTCCGGGTCCTGTGTTTAGTAACACTTTAATAAAACAATGAATTCATTATTATTTGAATGTAACCTTTATTGAGATACCCTTGCAGCTTACAATCAATGAAGTAGTCATTCTATGATGTAAGTATACTGACAATTTTTCTCATAATTCATTCATTATGGATACTTCTTATTTTAGAATTAAAGTGGAACATCACATTTTTCATTTTGCTCACAGGAAGTCAAGTATGAAAATACAGCAGAGATACAAGAGGTTAGTCTGCATAATATTTCCATTATATATTCCTAAAAGCCCTTTTTTGCATTTGATTAAATTATTACTGCAGTGTGTGCTATATTTGATATGTAATAGAAACCCCCCAGTAACATATACTGTATGCTAACCACTGTTGCCGTGATTCTCATTAATTCCTGGATGTTCTGTTTCATAGTTTCATAAACACCTTTGCCTATACCACCACATGAACAACATCCACTTCATCTGAGTACTAAATAAAGATAGAATTTATATGGAACTTGATTTATGTTGTGCAAGTGATGTATCAAAAAATAAATTCACCTTTTTATTTAGCTAAAACGGATGATTAAACCTTATTTTAGTTAGTGTTTGGCTAAATTTGATGATATTTAGCATCGAAAGATGTTGAAAAATGTGTTTACTCAAGGAGCATACTTATAAAGCAGTGATTGTGATTTTTCATCAAGCATTTACTGATGGTAAATTATTCACTGTTTATTTAAACACTTGCTCTAGGTAGATTTACCTGGAGTGAATGTTTGGTGAATGTAACATTCACTGCTTTATAAATATGCCCCTTTAACTATGCCTCTTTATTCACAGCATTTGGTAAAATTCATCTTTCACTAATCTGACTTCAGTAAACTAAAAGCTGATTCAAACTGTCTTTCAGCTCAGCTTTTTGTTTAAACAGGAAAGCTTTAGTTGCATGAGCATTCTTGTTTATGCAATAGAAAAACATAAGTGAGAGAAGCACATTTAGGGGTATGTTTCAAAATTCACATAGCTCTTAAGCAAAACTGCATGTAATTTTGTTCTATGTGAAAGCGATAACATTGAATGTTCTCAGGCTATATTCTCTGCAGATCGAATATGTGAATGGGGAAACTATTGCATCACGGCCACTAGATGGAGCATATGTGCATATGTATTTCCTAAGATAGTCAGGGCCATCTTGTGGTCATAATGCAGTATTTTCCCTAGTTACACATTCTAAGTCTGCAGGCAATATGGCTGGAGAATCCCTTTTCCCCATTCACACAGAACAATTTACAAGCAGTTCTGATGAACAAACAGCTACGCAAAATGTTTATATATACAACCTTGCTATTCCAGCATGGATTAATTAAGAAAAAAACAGTAAGGTTCAGGCAAGGTTTTCTGGCCTGATTATTTGTTTCCCAGACATGGTCATTCACGACTTTCAGCTGCTGTCAGATACCTTTTAAAATGTTGCCCATCTTAGCTGAAAACAGACTGATCAAGAATTTGCTAGCTGGTGTTTAAAGTATCATTAAACCCATACTAAAACCTCTCATTATGTGATATAACTGACTGCCCATACTCACAAAGCCATTAAAGCATTTGTTTTGTATAGAGTAAAATCTAGCTGGTTGATCTTGCCTTCAGCTGTCCCTCCCATCTTCTCTGTGTCCCCATTGCAGCCTGAGATTAGGTAGACCAGCTGTTGTCTTCTACTGAGCATGCTCCACTTTCAGTTCCCTTCTATGCTCCTCATTTCCTACTTTTTCTTATCTGTGTGGCCTGCATGACTAGAGAGTTACACATGTGGGCTTATACACAGTGGTGAATGATATGTCCCTCCCTTCTCCTCTATGTCCTTCTATTGCTAAACACTATGGGGGCAGGGTATAGTATGCTGATTGATTACAAACATGCACTACAAAACTCACAAAAAGCTTAATTTTAATATACATATATGCTAAATGTATCAAATGTAATTGCTAATACCTGTAAAGTTAAAAAAAGAACCTTGGATGCAAATACCATCTGAACAAAATTAAAGCTAGTGTCAATCATCTTTGATTCCGCCTTCACCATACCAATGCACTAAAAAAACACACATTTGATGTACAATAAAGATGTATATGGAGATCTAAAACAGTTTTTTGATATTTATAATTTACTTTGAATTGTTCGTCTGAAACAGATTGTTTTTAGTCATTTGACCAATCATGTGTCACCAATCAGGGCTGTGCAGACAGAGACTCATACTGCAGAGCAGCCTTTTTCAACCAGGATGCCCAGGCACCCTGGAGTGCCTTGAGGTTTCTTCAGGGGTAAAGAAAACGAAAAACTGCAAACTCAAATACTCCTGTGCTTGGGGATGGACTCAGATAGGGCTACAGCTACATCTCAGATGTCCTGGAATGTGCACTCCTTGCTGCCCTCAACGGATCGGGGTAGTCCAAATGCACTGGATATAAAGAAGACAAACAGAGGGCACACCAGCCTAGTGCATTATCGTAAAAAACATTTATTGAAATGATAAAAAATAGGTATCGTACTCACAACTGACATAGATGTCAAAGGCACATCACAAAGAACAGAACTGTCCAATCCACATTACATATCCATCCGCAATGGGAACCCTGGACTTCCAACAGGCTAACGCGTTTTGAGGACTTTGGCTCTTTCTCAGGGCCAACCTTGGTTGTGAATACGATACCTATTTTGTATCATTTCAATAAATGTTTTTTATGATAATGCACTAGGCCAATGTGCCCTCTGTTTGTCTTCTTTACATCCAGTTTCTTCAGGGGTGCCTTGGCAAAATGTCAAAATTTGTATACAAAAAAAATTGTATGCCCAAAACTTGAATACAAGTCAGGTGGAAAAAGCCTGCCTTTTTGTTACACAAAGCCACAGATTTTCATTGTGCACCATTATGACCTTCTAGCCATCGGCATCCTGACAACCAATGACATCATCAGTTGATAAGGAGGATGTCATTGCATGCACAGCATCCCTGTTTGACCCTCCCTTGTCCCTCTCCATCAATGCTGGGGTACATTAGCTCAGTGATGGAGAAAAACTGAGGGAGAAGAGAAACATTGGAATACTAGTCAGTACCAGTGTGCAAAAGTGTATTTGCTTTGGACGAATAAATCACCTCTAACATTGGGTGCCCTATGTGTGTGGATGTTGCTGCGTTATATAAAACTATTAGAATAGAACATTTTAGAAGGTGGTGCCTTAAGACTGTCCATAATTTTAAAGGGTGCCTTGGGACTGTCCATAATTTTAGAGGATCCATCGAGACTATCCATAATTTTAAAGGGTGCCTCAGGACTGTCCATAATTTTAGAGGGTGCATTGGGACTGTCCATAATTTTAAAGGGTGCCTCGGGACTGTCCATAATTTTAAAGGGTGCCTTGGGACTGTCCATAATTTTAAAGGGTGCCTCGGGGGAACTAATGATGGGGAACCATTACTCCCACTGACACCAATGATGGAGCACGATTCTTCCCACTGACACTAATGATGGAGCACTATTCCTCCCACTGACACTAATGATGGGGCACTTCCTCCCACTGACACCAATGATGGGGCACTATTTCTCCCACTAATACCAATGATGGGGCACGATTCCTCCCACTGACACTAATGATGGGGCACTTCCTCCCACTGACACCAATGATGGGGCACTATTTCTCCCACTAATACCAATGATGGGGCACGATTCCTCCCACTGATACTAATGATGGGGCACTTCCTCCCACTGACACCAATGATGGGGCACTATTTCTCGCACTAATACCAATGATGGGGCACGATTCCTCCCACTGACACTAATGATGGGGCACTTCCTCCCACTTCCTCCCACTGCACACAATGTTGGGACATATTCCTCCCCCTGACACCAATGATGGGGCACGATTCCTCCCACTGACACTAATGATGGGGCACTATTCCTCCCACTGACACCAATGATGGGGCACGATTCTTCCCACTGACACTAATGATGGAACACTATTCCTCCCACTGACACTAATGATGGGACACTATTCTTCCCACTGACACCAATGATGGGGCACTATTCCCCTCACTGACACCAATGATGGGACACTATTCCTCCCACTGACACCAATGATGGGGCACTTCTTCCCACTGATACCAATGATGGGGCACTATTCCTCCCCCTGACACCAATGATGGGGCACGATTCCTCCCACTGACACTAATGATGGGGCACGATTCCTCCCACTGGCATCACTGATGGGGCACGATTCTGCCCAATTTTAGTCTTGCCTAGGGCAGCACAAAACCAAAATACACCACTGCTCAGATTGAAGATGGATTGTGCAAATGATGGCAGAAGAATTGAACAGGGACAGGGAAACAGTGCGGCAGATCTATCGGAAGATTTGGGAATGAGAAAGATTTCCACAAAATGGTGCCTTGAATCTTGTCAGAAGATCAGAAAGAATGTTATCTGCAACTCTCATCCAATCTTTTGAAGAATGCAGAGGTGTTTAATAGGGTTATTTCCCATCCATTCCAGGAATTAAATTGTCACACCTCATGCTTTAAAGTGTTACTAAACCCCGGACCCTGCATTCTCTATATCTGGTCTCCCACAGTACTCAGAACATGGAAACACAATTATTTTAGTAAATATAAACTGCTAAATACCTTTTCTCATCAGCAGTTAGAGCAGTCTTGTGACTTTATCAGTGTCCTGCAGAGCACATGTTAAAACTTGTAGGAGGAGTTTTCATTCTGCTCTAGTAGGATGCAGAGCCCCTGACCTCTGTCTGGACAGTGCTGATTGGCCCTGTGCTAATCACACTCTCCCAAGGAAAAAAAAACCTCTCTAACACAAACTGATCATGTGCAGAGTGACTTCACACAATATGTCCTATCAGAAGATAAGAGGGGGACACTGGAAGAAGGGAAGGATCAGAGAAGTCAGAGTCAAACAGTGTTTTACACAATGCAGAGGATTAAACCCTTAGGTTCCACAGTGAGTATAACAAGCATGCTTTACTGCATATATTGGCTGATTTTACTGTTCTGGGTTTAGTAACATTTTAAGGTTTAAAAAAAAAGTAGAGTGGCATGATACAGTATATATGATTGATGTGAAAGAATTATAGTAAGTAACAGTTCTCTGTTTAGTATTACATTAAAGTGACTGTTACTTTTTGTGGACATCACATTTTTTTGTACTACTTTAATTAACCACTTGCTCTCCTGAGGATATACCCCCCCTTCCTGACCAGGCCATTTTTTTGTGTTACAGCGCTGAATTACTTTAGCTGATAATTGCGCAATCATGCTACGCTGCACCCAAATTAAATTTAAGTGCTTTTTTCCCCCCCACGAATAGAGCTTTTTTTTGTGGTATTTGATCACCTGTGCATTTTTTAATTTGAGAAAAAAAAGAACAATATTTTGGACTTTTTTCCATTAAACATGTCCAGTAAAAAAATAAAAAAAAAATCAAATTTCATCATAAATTTAGGCCAAAATGTATTCTGCTACATGTCTTTGCTAACAAAAATCCCAATACGTGTAAATTAATTGGTTTACATGAAAGTTATAGCGTTTACAAATGGCGGTATATATACTGGGATTTTTTTTATTTTTTATTTTTACTAGTAATGGCGGCAATCAGTGACTTATAGCGGGATTGCGGGACTGCGTCGGGCATTCTGACACTAAGGGGAAATGACTTGGTGTCACCGACATCCCCAGTGACACCAATACAGTGATCAGTGCTAATAAAAAGCACTGACACTGTACTAATGGCACTGGGCAGGAAGGGGTTAACATGTGGGGTGATCAAAGGGTTAACTGTGTGCTGTTTTACACTGTGCTGTATGTTTGTGCTTCACTGTAAGCACACTGCTATGCATGGCTCTGCTATGTAAAGCTATGCATAGCAGTGTGCAGTAGCTGACAGGGGAGAGAACTATTTTGTTTACTTACAGTTCTCTCCCTCTTTCAGTAATCCTGCTCAGTCACCGGGCGCCAGTGATTGACAGCCGAGGCCATAAATTGTGGTGCGGGTAGGGCGCATGCGTCTCGTGCAGGCTCCCTACCCGGAAATGCGAAATCACATATATATATATGTGATTTTTCACACCCCTGCTGCCCTGTAGTAGTATACCTGCTATAGGGTGGAGGAGAAGGGAATATTTCTGGGTAGATTTTTTTTTCACCAGCATGAGTTTTTTTGGAGTTTAACTTGTTTTTTGGGGGGCACAAAGAGGGAACATCGCTCTTGACTTCAAATCTAGATTGGAAGATAATTACTTTAACCTGAATACACGCATAGAAAAATACCTAAATAAAATCATAATCTTCAATCATGGTTTGCCCAGGAAACATGACTAAATTAAATGTTTAGGTGTTTGCGTGCAGAAGATGTTCAAGTCTGGCAGATGCAAAATCGTTCCAATTGTTTTAACAGCAGACAGTTAAATGTAATTTGTTTTTGCTACATACACTGAATCTACATGTAAAAACATTAGAGTAATTCATTTGCACATTGTGAAAATGCTTGGAGTAGGATGAAAAAAACCTAGGCTGCATTTTGACAGCATGGTCAGATGCCTGGGAAATAGAATGCTTTTTGTTTGTTTTTTTTCTTTTTTATTGGCACAGCTTTGGCAGAAAAAAAAATCATTCTGACACAAAAGCAACATCATTTTCTATTGTAACTACAACACTTGGTATAGGATAAGATATAAAACTGTATTTCAATGAATGGGTGTTCAGTGCCAACCCAATGTCATTTGGTAAAATTACAATCCAATCAATCAAACAATTAAAAAAATATATAATAAATGAATCATAAAGGCTTAAGGATTTAAAAGATTACTCATTTAAACACCAAAGGATCTCACAAAGCACACAAGGAACATAAAGATTTGGTGCTGTAGATTTCTTCTACCCATGGTCACCGACATGCAGGAGGCACATTCAGGTCTTGATTCTCATTCCTACTCAGAGCTGTGTGAGGTTTCAATTGTGAGTGCTCTTCTTAAGCCTTTAGAATCATATGGGTCATGCATATACACTGCTATGTACTGTATATTTTTAACCCCATCAATCCTCTTTGCTGGCTGGTACATATAAGGACTCCCCTTTATGCCAACATGTACAACCTTAGAAACAATATTGCTCAAAAATGTTTGGCCCAAACCTCCAAACATGTATAAAATGGCAGTGAATATTAGTATGGGCTATACACTACTCTAAACTAATTAATTAACGTATCTCTACTTTGGTTAACTCTTTGTTATACAGGAAATATGCTATTAAATGACATCCTCCTGAATTTCTTCATAAAACATCTTACGTAGGACAGGATCAGAAATCTGTCAGATGCTTTAGCCCCTTTTGTTACCATAGGAGAACTTACGCAAAAGCGTTACTAAATAATGCAACTAGGCTGATTTACTAAAGGGAAAAATGGCTGTTCACTTTGTAATGGATTTTACACTGTGCAGGGGAATTTTCCATTAGCTTAGTGAAATGAAATGAAGCTCTGCTGACTGTCGTTGTTCAATCGTATGCAAGCAAATATACTGTGTTTTTTTATTTTCCTTGCTTGTGATTGGGTATTCTTTGTTAAGTGAATTTTCACAACATTCACCAATCTTTGGGAAAACATTTATTGGAAATTTGATTATTATTTTAGTAAATCAACTCCAATGTGTGTTTCTATAATTAGTTTCAATTTTGATGAAGTACACAGTACAGTGCTATTTAAATATGCAGTATCTATCTGTCTGGCAATTGAGAACCATGAAATTACTTCCAAACTCTTAAGCAGCTCATAGATGATTCCATTTGGAAGGAAAAAAAATCACTTGATTCCCCAGTCAACACAGTCAGTCTTGATAGGAGGATCCCTCCAGCAGCGTTATTGTGTTCTGCTGGCAGGAGGGTGCAGGGAGCTAAATACAATGATTACTGTTAGCAGCTATAGACGCTGGCAGTAATCACATGCAGAAAAATCCAAAAGGTTGGTTGTACCCAAGTCGATTGATGGATTAACCTGCGTACAATCGGCTTGCCCATACATGGATCAAAATTCAGCTGGTACCTGCCGAATCAACCGCAATTCGATCCGTGAATGGCCTGGCTTTACTATCTGCAGTATTTTTCACATTCTAATTCTAGTGTATAGCGGGGTTAGCTAATGTCACAATTTTGACTTGGCCCAAGAGCAGCTAGTGCTATAACCAGACTTGCCACATTACCTTCAATATCTAAACAATAAATATATATACTGTTCAAAAAAATTAAAGGAACACTTTGAAAACACATCAGATCTCAATGGGGAAAAATATTATGCCGGATATCTATACTGATATGGACTGGGGAATGTGTTAGAAACATAAGAATGCCTTATCGTTTGATGGAAATGAACATAATCAACCTACAGAGGAATG